TTTTTTTTTTTTTTAATTGTGGCTTTAGGTAAAAGTTTGCAGAGTAAATTAGTTTCTCATTGGATAATTGGTACATAAAGTGTTCCATGACATTGGCTGCATTCACTGCAATGTGTCGGTACTCTCCCCATTTCCGCCTTGGGTTTCCCATTTCCTCTCATCCAAATTTTCTACTTCTTTCTGCCTTGTCATCTTTGTTTGCGCAAATGTTGACCTTTTGATTTCATATAATTGATTGTTTTAAGAAACATGTTCCTCTTTATTGTTATAGTTTATTTTGTGGACCTACTATTTGGCTGAAAGGTGGCCTCTAGGAATGGCTTCAATTCTAGGTGTGAAGAGTATCTAAGGCCCAGAATCTCAGGGGTTCCTGTTCCTCAAGTGTCTGTCAGACCATAAGTCTGATCTTTTTTGTGAATTTGATTTTTTGTTCTATGCCTTTTGTTCCTCTCTGCCTGAGACCTTCTGTTGTGACACCAGTCAAAGTGGATGATGGTGGTAGCTGGGTACCGTCTAGTTCTTCTTGTGCCATGTCAGGGATGTAGGCTGTGGTTCATGGGATCCATTAGTACTTTGGACATTTGCTCCCTTGAGTTTTTGGTTTTCTTCACTCTCCTTTGCTCCAACTGAAAGAGACCAATAGTTGTAGAAGGCTGTAATCTTCGTGGAAGCAGACTGCCACATCTTTCTACATGGAGCAGCTGGGAGGTTTGAACTGCTGAACTTTTGGTTAGCCACTGAGAGCAACCACTGTACCTAGAAACTTGGTTGCTAACTGAAAAGTCAACAGGAGAAAGAAATGGCAGTCTGCCTTCACAAAGATTACAGCCAGTAGCTTCTCCACAGGAGAAAAGACCTAATGATCTACTCCCATAAAGATAAAAACCTAGGAAACTCTATGGGGACAGTCTTACTCTGCCCTGTAAGGTCACTATGAGTTGGGATCAACTCAATAACACTGAGTTTGGGATGTAGTAAGCACTCAATAAATGACAGTTTAACCATCATCATTATCACCATTGTTATTTATCAACTGCCATCAAGTCGAGTGGGACTCATTAGATAATGGTAGTGATATTCATGGTGATGATGATGATGATGATGATGATTTCCATCCAGGAAAAAAAGCAGTGAGTCACTGTAAAAGCCACTTGACCAACATTTAGCAAACATAATGGTGAGCTGGGCAAACTCAAAGACAGGGATCTCCAAAAGAAATGCACAGGGATGTTATTTGAAAATCTTCATTTCTTCAAACCCATCTGAAAGACCAGGAACTGGTTTTGGGAGCCCCCTACTGAATGGGGCATAAGGAAGTATACATGATTCATGGCATGATAGATACCTGTATTCTGTCCAGGCAGTGCAGAAGAGCAGAATGGTTCTTCCAGAAAGAACTTCTAGGGATAGTTATACTTCCTAAGAGCTGACAGTGTGGACTGTAATTTTGCCACAGCACAGAGAGTAGTAGTGTGGCCGAAAGAAACCAGTTGGAATCCTGTCTACAGAACTTACTGCCTTGTGACCTTGGACAAGTTATTTCATTTCTTGTGGCCTCTGTGTTTCTTCATCTTTAAAATGCAGGTGCTCTGCCTAACTCCCAGGGCTGTCATGGCCATTAGACAATGACTGAAAACAATGGACACAGAGTCACTATGATTAATGTCATTTTTGCTGTTGTTACCCAAAGGCCTCTGATTCTTAGACAACTTGTATTATTCCAACTCAGAGGGCAGAATATTACCTGCCTATAATAAATACCTCAGGGAATATGAATTATTTATTCATTGTATACTTGAAATTACAGGGAAGGAATTTTTTTTTTTTAAATAATAACATTGATTGGTTTAAAGAGCAGAGACAGCACTCTCCCATCCTTATTTACAGACCCTGCACTTGGTTCAAGTGTACAATGGCACATTATAGATGTACCTTGTGACTTGCAGATAAATATGAGGGCCAAGGGATCAATTAAGTAGCTTCACTGGTGAGTGGCAGGGAGAACAGTTCAGCTAAAACATTGATCTTAGATCTGAAATGTAAGACAGCCAAGCTAAATAAATCCATGTGTTCATAGACAGTAGAATCCTCCCCTGGCTTGGATCCCGGTACTGGTGGAATGTGACTGATGGAAGGCAAACAGAACCCAACAATGACTAAAAAGGAGAAGCTAACATCTAACAAACAGCTGTTCTGGCCAGGTAGGCTGCCTAGTAATGCTCACACAGGTAGCTCACTTAATGTCCTTTACTTTCTGAAAGGTTAAGTTCCTTACCTTCAGGTAATACAGCTGTTCCATTTTAGATGTCTCTCAAAACAAGGATCGGACTCAAAGACCAGTGTTCTTGGTCTGTCCTCACCAGCCTGACCATTCATTTACTCAATCAACAAACATCCATTGAGACTTTTCTATGTGCCCAGGCACCTGGAATGCAAATATACCTTACGTAGTTCTCTGGCTCCAAGAAGCACCCAATCTAGAGAGGAAGTGAACCTATAAATACAGCACAGGATACAAAAGGTGGGACCAGAGCCCACTTATTGGAAATCTTAGGTTTCAGAACTCCTCACTTGTCTATGGGCTATGATTTTTCTAGCTTGTGTGACCTTATAGAGATCATGTTGCACCTCTGAGCTTCAGTTCTCTTATAAATAAAATGCAGATAAGAAATCTTGCTGGGTTTCTCTTATTGAGTGCAAGAAGTAAATATCTCTAAGTTTCAGCATGGGTCATTAATAGTGATATTGTTAATAATGTCTCATATTACTAATAATGTTTCAACCATATGGTTCTATACTTAACCTCCTTCAGATCTCTACTCCAATCTGACCTTTCCGTTATCAACCCACATCTAAGTCATCAGCAAATTCCATTGGCTCACTCTTTAACAACAGATCCAATGTACAACCATTTTTTGCTATCTCCACCACTGCCATCCTGGTCCAAGCCAAGTCTTCACTCACTTGGATTATTGCAATAACTTCTCTATCTGGGATTCCTCTTTCTACATTTTATTCTCAAGATAGGGGGTCAGGGGATTCTGTTAAAATGTCAATCATATTATATTGCTCTTTTGCTCACCACCCTTCATCGGCTTCCCATCTCATGCACAGTAAAAGGCCAAGTCTTTACAAGTCTGTCCTTGGTTTACCCTCCCCCTTCGGTCCTCCTCACATGCTCTCCTCAGCCTCTCTGCCATCGTCTTCAATTGCCTCCAGATTCTTCACTAGTTCACTCCGCTCCAGCCACCTGGGCTTCCTTTGTGTGCATCAGACACACTGGGCACTTTTCTGCCTCAGGGCCTTTAGTCATTATCTATAATACTCCTGCAGATGTTTGCGTGGTTGATTCTCTTACTTCCTTCAGGTCTTGGTTCAAAGGTATCTTCCTTTTCTTCTACACCCAAACAAATAATCACCCATCTCCACACTGTTGAATTCCCTTAATTTCTCCCTATCATGTCCACCATGCCACCAGAGCTCCTTAACATTTGATATCTCTTGAGACACGTATTGCATATAATCAATCATATGCCTTTTCCTCCCACAACATATACACAAACACGATTGGGTGGAAACTCTATCAGAGCAGGGACTTTATTGTTGATGTACTCCCAGTGTATATGGTGCATTATAGATGTGTAATAATAAATATCTGTGGAATGAATAAATGTCGAATGAAACATCTATGCAAGAAATGATGAGGATTGGACCGAGGAGGAAGCAGATAGATATAAGACCTACCAAGGAGGTTTCTGGGCAGTGCAAATGGTTTGTGTTCAACTACTAACCTAAAGGGGTGGTTTGAATCCACCCAGAACCACTGTATAAGAAAGGCTGGTGATCTATGTCTGTAAAGATTACTTCCAAGAAAACTTATGGAGCAGTGTTACTCTGTAACATGAGGGGTCGCCATGAATCAGAATCAACTCCATTGCAGTAGTTTGTTTGTTTGTTTTCCGTTTTAAATGCCGTAAGGCTTGAATTTCCCTCCCCTCCTAGAAAAGGCAGAAACTGTAAGGCTGTTATATTAAAAGACTTGATTACCCCTTTCTCTGGCAAAGAGAGAGAAGCAGAAGCATCATTTCAGAAAACTCAGCCTTTCTCTTCTTTCCTCGTTCTTTCCACTATGTTTGCAGGCTTTAGGAGATGGAAGTTTTTGCTGCTCAAACCTTCTTCTCAAATTTTAAGTAGCAAATTCCTTGAGAGTTCTTTGGAGGAAGCCTGTTTACTGCTGGAATATGCTCAAGGATATTGCTTCTTCCACAAGGTCCGTTTTGTATTTTTAATTAGGCAGCAGAGTTGAGATGCAGACTCAAGCTGTCTGATTTCGGAACCCAGGTGCTTAATCACAATGTTCTATTCCTTTCCTTACCTTTATTAATTTGAGATTGTCTTTATTCTATTCAATGTAGCAGTGCTTTTTTTTTTTTGGTATGTATTAAATCATACCAACATGGGTTATTTTGTTAAAACAAAACTACCCCAATGACAACCCAATTGGATAATGCTAGCAATTTATTTAGTTAAATAATTTAGTTTAGAATTATTATTCTATTATGGCTGTGAAAAGACATTCCCACAACTACACAACCTAGCATTAATGGGGAAACTATATAACAAGTCATGAAAAGAAGGGGTACCAAGATATACTGATGATCAGTTAGGGGTTCTTTGTGATATTAAGAATGAATTTTTGGGAAAATCTTAATTAGATTATGTCATTGACAGAAAAGCTGGAATGACAAATTGAAGAGAAATGGCATGATAAAATATGACTTTGATTATGAAAGAAAAAAAAAAACTGCTGTCAAGTCAGATCTGACTCATAATGAGCCCTCCTTGGGTGTTTGAGGCAGTATCACTATGGAAGTAGATTGCCCAATCTTCCTTCTGAGGAGTGGCTGGTGGGTTTGAACTGTGAGCCTTCTGGTTAGCAGTCACATAACTTAGGCACTATGCTGAATAGATTTAATGCATTGATCACCAATAATGGAAGACGAGACAAGTCGTGGTATGACATCAAGGCCATCATATATGAAGAAAGCAAAAGGTCATTAAAAATACAGGGAAGAAAGAAAAGCAAATAATCCAAGAAACAGGACTATATGAAGAAGAATGTAGCATCAGGATTGGGAATAGATTCATTAACAACCTCCAATATGCAAATGACACAATCTTGTTTGCTAAAAGGGAAGAAGATTTGAAGCACCTACTGATGGAGATTAAAGACTGCAATCTGCAGTATGAATTACACCTCAATATAAAGAAAACAAAAATCCTCACAACTGGGCCAATAAACAGCTTCATGATAGATGGAGAAAAGATTGAAGTTGGCAAGGACTTCATATTACTTCATTCTACAATCAACGCCAATGGAAGCAGCATCAAGACATCAAATGAAGTATTGCATTGGGCAAATCTGCTGCAAAAGACCTCTTTCAAGTGATGAAGAGCAAAGATGTCTCCTTGAAGACGAAGGTGTGCCTAACCCAAACCATGGTATTTTCAATTACCTCTTATGCATGTGAAAGCTGGACAACGAATAAGGAAGACTGAAAAAGAGCTGATGCTTTTGAGTTATCATGTTGGAGAAGAATGCTAAGAGTAGCATGGTCTGCTAATAGGACTAACAGATCTGTTCTGGAAGAAGTGCAGCTGGAATGGTCCTTGGAGGAGAGAATGGCCAGACTTTGTCTCACCTACTTTGGTCATGTTGTCAGGAGGAATCAGTCCCTGGAGAAGGATATCACGCTGGGTTAAGTGGAGGGTCAACGAAGAAGGGGAAGGCCCTCAACAAGATGGATTGACACAGTAGCTGCAACAACGGGCTCAGGTACAGCAAGGATTGTGAGGCTGACACAGGACTGGGCAGTGTTTTGTTCTGCTGTGCATAGGGTCGCTATGAGTCGGAGATGACTCGATGGCACCTAACAACAACAAGAACAACAACACTAATGAAGATCAAAGGCTACAGTCTTCAGTGTGGATTATACCTCAAAATAAAGAAAATGTAAATCCTCACAACTGGATCAATAAGCAAAACATGATAAACAGAGAAAAGGTTGAAGTTGTCAAGGATTTTATTTTAGTTGGATCCACAATCAGTGCTCATGGAAGCAGCAGTCAATAAATCAAGCATGATATCCTTCTCCAGGGACTGGTCCCTTCTGACAACATGACCAAAGTAAGTGAGAAGTCTAGACATTCCTGCTTTAAGGAGCATTCTGGCCGTGCTTCTTCCAAGACAGATTTGTTTGTTCTTTTGGCAATCCACAGTATATTCAATATTCTTCTCTCTAACACCATAATTCAAATATATTAGTTCTTCCATGGTCTTCCTTATTCACTGTCCAGCTTTCACATGCATATGAAAAGAGTAGTTTGGGTCAGGCATATCTTAGTCTTCAAAGTGACATATTTGCATATTTTAACAATTTAAAGAGGTCTTTTGTAGCAGATTGGTCCAGTGCAATATGTTGTTTGATTTCTTGACTCTATAAAGTGTTAAAGACCAAAGACATCACTTTGAAGACTAAGGTGTACCTGACCCAAGCCATGGCATTTTCAATCACTTCATACCCATGTGAAAGCTGAACAATGAATAAGGAAGACCAAAGAATCGATGCCTTTAAATTATGGTGTAGGTGAAGACCATCAACTATACCATGGACTGCTAGAAAAAGAAACAAATCTGTTTTGGATGAAGTATAGCCAGAAATGAGGAAATGAGAGGAGGAGGAAGTTATTTTAAATAATGTAGAAGTGAGGGTGGTGAGACTTCACCTCTTGTATTTTGGATACGTTGTCAGGATGGACCAGTCCCTGGAGGATATCATGCTTGGTAAACTAGATGGTCAGTGAAAAAGAGGAAGACCCTCAATGAGATGGATTGACCTGGTAGCTGCAACAATAAGCTCAAGCATAGCAACAATTGTGAGGATGGTTTACGACCAGGCAGTATTTCGTTCTGTTGTATATGGGTCTCTATGAGTTAGAACCAACTCAATAACACCTAACAACAGCAACCTCATGAGCCATGTGGTAGTTAAGGTTGTGTATGAACTTGGCTGGGCTGTGGTTTTGAGTGGCTGGGCAGCTGGATGTAGTTATTCCCCATGATGAGATTGGTCAGAGAAGCTTTGAGGAAGGTCTGGAGCTTTTTAGCATGCTTGGATCCTGTGTTTGGCTAAATCCTCAGTGGCCTGCCATGTTGCTTACCAATCTTGGGATGGTTTCTGGACTTGAACTATGGCCTGCTGTATTGTTGCTAAACTTGGGACAGTGCCATTTTACTTGTTGATCTTGGGTTTGTCAGTCTCAGTAGCCAGCAGTTGTGCCTCCAGCCCTGTTGTTGTTGTGTGCCATCGAGTCGGCCCCGACTCATAGTGACCCCTCCTTGGGTTTCTGAGGCAGTATCACTATGGAAGTAGGATTGCCCAACCTTCCTTC